TTATTCGATACTCAATTACATTATACACGCTCTATGACCGTTCAGAGACCTGCTCCAGATAGATCCGATGTTTTCAACGCGGGCGTCTGCGCGGGAATTTCAAACGATTTCTGAATATCTTTATAAACCGGTTTTGCTAAGTGAATGGGCGATGAACAACCACCAAAATTGGCGTAAAAATGCGCAACCAAGAGCAGAAGTGTCTGGGAAATCATTGAAAAATTTTGAGGATGAGATAATCGCTGTAGCTTTTAGAGATCTGAGTTTCCGGCGGAAACCCACGGGATCAGATGTCCAAACACCAAACACTTTTTTGTCATAATTTTTTTAAAAATATCAAACACTTTTTGTGCAACCTCCTTGACATAACTTACGGCGCAATAATGCGATCGAAGCACTTTCTCTCTTTCATGCTAGGCCCTGAACCATTTTGCCTTGATGAAGAAAATGCGCTCCAACTGAACAGCTCTGCAGTGCTTGTTCTGCTTGCACGCGCTTGTACATGTTACAAAGGGGGCTTCGTAATTCTCTGGATGTTCAAGTGAGTATTCGTTTTTAACTCTCTATCGAAGACAGCTCGTGCCGAGGCGAGTACTTAACAGTGCACATTTTTCTGTAAATTTGAGCCATCCATTCTTTATAAACAAAGCTTGAAAACTTGAACGATCTCATTTGCAAAATTTGAGCCGATATGATGATAACAGTTGTCAATAGCTGCAATCCTTCTCGTTTGAACATTTCTAATCTGGGGCACATTTAAATGAGCGTCCAGAAGTTTGGAAACTTTTTAACGAAAGGTCCAAAAAGGCCATCTCCAATGCATAAATGTGATGGAGAACCAATTCCTATATTTGAAAATGCATAACAATATAAAAGACTGCAGTTTAGTGTCCTTTGGTGATTAAAGTTGATTTAGAAAGTACTTCCGCTTCTTTCAAGATTTCGTGAAGCCTATGACAAAGTAAGTTGCGACAATCAGCACATATAATATTATCCCTTTCTCCCTAATCTCCAAGCTTCATCGAAAAGACAATATCATGGTCAAGCTGCAGTAATTGTAACGCAGCATCAAAAGTTACACTCTTTCTGAACGGGATTTGGTTTTCTAAGTCCGAAGAGAAAATTCGTTACGAGCCTGATTTCAACAATTCTGATTTTCTCTCTTTTCAAAAACTAGAAACATTCCGGCTTTAAAAATGAAGGACATATACCGCACCGGAACAACTATTGTTTTTATATGCTTCCTAATCGGCAAATTCAGTTGATTTCGACAAAAAGCCAATCTCAAGGTTTTTTAAACTCTGAACAAAATAAAGCAGACTAAAAAAACTGCTGAAAATTATAACATTAGCCGGGTCCAATCTGCGAACTTATCAGGGAATTCAAACTGGTCATACGTCAATAACTCACTCTATCAATCTCCTTCTTGAACTTGTCAAATGCTGCATTACTTTCGGCTAAGCTTTTCGTGATCTCCTCATAGCGTCCAGCATATCGTTTCACCTATAAATTGCAAATTTTAGATTGCATTTTATGAAAATTCAATCAAGAGCACAATTAACTTCCAGTTCACAGTGCAAAATGCATCTTACATCCGCAGCAATTTTTACAGAAGCTTCAGTAGCAACATGCACCATATCTGGTTAAATCGTTGTTAATACTACTTCATCAGTATTGTAGAAGAATCATGCCACTGCGGGCTCTAGTCAAAGGTTAGACACATAGAGCCACGGCTCTGGTCACCCTCACTATTGATGGAGAAAAAGTACGACCCTCAACTATGAGGGTTTCAGTAAGTTATGTTCAAGGGAGGGCTCCCGGACATTGACTTTTCTACAAGATAGAAGTTTGAAGAGAGATAAGATCAATAAAAGGTGAAAATTCCTTTTACTTTATTGATAACGAAATGATTGAGAGATGATAGTACATAAGAACTGTGGATATTAGAGAAAATTATGAGGAGTTCTCATTATACTGAAGTTGAAAAAGGCCACAAAGTGTAAGGAATAAGTGCTGTTCGCTCTACAACAATTTTTTT